CAAATAGGGACTATGATCTTTATGACGATTTTGAATTGCGGATCACTGCTAAGGTATCCCTACGTTCGAGGGATACGACCATCATTTCTGAGGCAACCGAGTGGAGTAAACCCTAGGAGTGAACATGTGCAAGTGTATTTTTAAGTTAATTATCTTTGCACAATTAGGGTTCTCTACTGTTTTAATTTCAATTATCTTTTGCATGCAAGCCTATTGTCCATACATCTAACAGTTAAATAGTTGCGGAAATTAAAAGCGAGAAATTAAGATCCTAATTATTACATGGCTTTCGGCAGATATATAATTATTTTGACTGAAAGTAAAATACGGAATTAAAATCCTATTTAAATCTATTACAAACTCAGAGAAATAATTAGACGACCTAAAAATCTAAATTGAAAAAAATATTTATGTTATTTTTAAGGAAAAAATTAGGTTAAGTATAAAATTAAACCCTAAATCTAATTATTTTGAATTATAGTAAAAAGACATTAAATTACCCTAATTTAATTACACTAACTAATTAATAAAATATTTTTTTATGAAAAAAAAGATTTTTGATGTTTTTTGGTGATTTTTGTTTAAATGAAAAAAATAATTTTTTGGTGTTATTAAAAAAGGATATAATTAATACGTAAAAGAAAAAGAATTAAAATAAAATAAAAAAAGTAAGAAATTGGGCCTGCATAAGCACCCAGGGGGGTGTGTTTTGGAATTTTTGTCCAAGCCCATTATGCTGAGCCCATGTCTGCGTGAGATCCAGTGTGGAACAAGCTAAGAGGTCCATCATGTGGCTTCTTCCCCAAGGCGTTAGATCTGGCGTTGTTTGATCTGATGGTATTTAATTTGAGGTGTATGGTTATCTTCTGGAGGTGAAACACACTGGATCTGTAATAGAATGTCAAGAAAATAACAAAAGCATATGCCTGGGATCGAACCCAGGTCGTTTGCTTCATAGGCGCGCCTTCCCACCATCTGTGCTAGCTGTTCTATTTGTAAGTATAATGAAACAAATAAAATATAACTGAAATAAAATGCATTGCCCAGAAATATGCGCCAATTTCAAATGGGCCAGTGGGACGCTGCCACGGCTTCATCTTCTTCCCAGAAGTGTCATTTTTGCCAACAGACTTTTACCTACGGACATGTCTGTTGCTAAAAACCTGCATATTTCCAAAATTCACCACAGGCAATATAAATTTGATGTAAATACATGGATCAACCGTGTTTGATCTTGTGAATACAATAGTATCCTTCTTTTGGCTTAATTTTGCCTATACTGAAAAACACCCAAAATGGACCTTGAAACATGTGATGTTGTAGATGCTTATTATGGACGTCTTGATGCGTGCAAATGATACAGTTAGCTTCCAAATGTGTCAAGGAATTGATTGCAAGTGTCGAAACTTCTTGAATCCCTCTGCAAAGGTCAAACTAATTGCCACTTTTTGTGAAAAAATGTAAAGTTCTTATGTCAATTTCGTGCGGCCAACCCCTATCCTCTTGCCTTGTTTTTGTACATTATATGTAGTATAAAGGATTAGGGTAACAAAAAGGAACAAAATCCTTTGGAATTATGGAGATTGAATGAGATTCTCTTGCCATATGATATCTTTCCATAACCATGCAAATCATGCTCTTTTTGCCTCAAATTTCCTTGATTCGTTTTGATTTGATTTGGCCAACATAATTAGATTTGATTTCCATCAAAATCAGATCTTCACAACAATTTTTGGTAGTTTTTGTTATTTATTTCTTTTAATGTGATTTTTAATATATAAAAATCATAATAAAATAAATAAATGGAGAAAATGAGATGTGGTTGTTGACTTGGGTCGTGGATCATGTCCTTAACAAGATACAATCCTAAAATGCTAGGCCCCTTTGACAAAAAATGCATTTTTGAGCATATTTGACTTTTGGCAATTTTCCAAAAATGGTCAACTTTGACAATGCATAACTCTTCCAATTTTAACCCTAGAGAGGTGTTATTGGACTTTTTAGAAAGCTTATTATGTCCCCTAAATAATCCTTTTTGTCTCATTTCAATTGGGTCCTCCATGTTCATGTAATAAGCGTTGACCCAAAAAGTGTTTTTATTGACTTTTCAAAAGGACCTATAATGTAGAAATTCATATCTTTTTATGGGTGCATTTATTGAACTTGAGGGCTGAAGATGAGTTATAGGAAATTGAATTCCCTTCAAAAATAGCGTTGGATGAGAAATTTATGATGAAGTATGAGAAAGTTATGCTTGGTCAAAGTTTGGTTGACTTTTCCTGAGAAACCCTAATTTAGCAACTTTTGAGTTTTGATGAATTAGGAGCATTCCTTGAGGAATCATGATAAACCCTTGATCAAATGATGAATATCACTTCAAAATGTTGATGTTGACCAAAAATCTTGAAGTTTGATTGTATGTGGGCCACAGTTGACTTTTGACCTAATACAGTCGATTCTCAAACATCTGAGCAGTTGACTGAGCAAACTCCTTGTGCAAAGTTTGAAATTTGACATGGAGGGTCTTGAGGACATATTAGCACCATGGAGAGCATATGAGGCCTTTGGAGCTCACTCTTATTTATGAAAATGGAAACCCTAGTTGGGGATTCATTGCTTTAGGAGAGAGTTTGTCTGGTCAACTTTTGAGCATCCTTGAGCAAGTTAAGGGTCTTAATGAACATATATTGAGTAACATGGGAGGGTAAATTTTGGGGTACAACACTTACATATTTTCTAGTTTCTATGTAAAAAATGATACAGGAAGATTAATAAATTTATAATGATATGATACAGGCCAGATAAATTGATGCAATACAGCCAAAAAATTAGATTTAACCCTTCAGTTGTTTCATAAAATTAAGGTAAATGAATATCTTATTACCTCTTATTATAAATAAAACCAAAAGGTATATGACGCACGCAACAAAATGTAGAAATTAAAAATATGCAGTTCCTAGGAATCGAAACCATGACCTTTTAAATTATAATCTCGGTTTTCAAAACACCAAGGTGTTAAGTGCTAGCTTTTCATGTCACCCTTCTTTACCTAGCTTGTGTAGCCGAGGTTAAATGCATTTTGTGACCAATGTTACATGCGTTGTTTGTAATAATGAAGTAGTTGTTAAAGGTTGAAACTACCATAGTATAAGTATCATTTGAATGTCTTTATCTAGAATACGTAAAGTGAAGTCTAAGTACAACTAACATAAAGACACTGAGATGAGCAGAGTAGAGTTTGCATAAAAACTGAAGAGATGGGATCCTAACAATGTTACTTTCTTGAATAAACATAAAGTAGATGTATGTTGTCACGAGATCCTCTTAAGATAACTTCTGACTAGAGACTTCTTGTAGACGTTTATTGAAGCTTGAGTAGAGTCATTGTTATCTTTTATACTTAAATTATTGAATCAGGGGCTTCTTATAAGTTTGACGAGAAGTTAGAGTATGTCTTCAGTACCTGGTTAGAGTGAGACTTCAGAGTCTTGAGTTCACAGATTCTGAGTTTGCATTTATCAAAGTCTTGAGTTCATAGATTTTGATTTTTCATTTATCAAATTCTTGATCATAATTAATCTGGATGAAAGCTTTTAGAGTTGTTGACTTGATATAGACAATAATCCTTTGAAGCAGAGACCTCAGAACTGTTGATGAAGCTTATTCAGAAGTTGTAGAGTCATTCTTTATGACAACACCTGCTTGCTTCAAATGACTCCAATATTCAAAAATTGTTAGTCTTTAGATTTCCAAATAAGCTTCAGCACAACATCTGAGAGACTTAAGTTTGACTTGTCCAGAACATGAAAGCTTGATTCTGATCCTTCTGATTTAGAATAAATTTGCATATCTCTTTATGAGTCTTCTAAGTATCTATCTTGATTTATATCCAGGTTAATGTCTTTAGATTCTACACACTTGAACAACCATTAGTAAAACCATATTGTTCTTTAAATACTTTGTTATCATCAAAATCCTTTAAGGGTCTGAACAAATTGTGTTCCAAAAATCTTCCCATTTTTTATGATTACAAACACATGTATTTCAGAACAACGGTTGATGATTTAATTAACACAGTCTAACATCAGAGTCTGAGGTTTAAGCTCACCCTGAGTTAGACAACCCATTAAGGTGAGGTTTGTAAGCTCCCCTTAAGTCTAACAGATCATTAAGGTAAGATTTGTAAGCTTTCCTTAATTCCTTATATATGTTAATTTAATCTTATAACTTAACTAATTTAGTCTAACATCAGGGTCTGAGGTTCTTAAGCTCCCCCTAATTTAAACAACTCGTTAAGGTGAGGTTTGTAAGTTCTCCTTAAGTCCTTTCTTAGTTAATTAAGTTAATCATTAAGCTTAAAATGATTAAATTCATTCAGAATTTAAATAACTCATAATCTTCTAAGGGTTCAGGTTCAGATGCATTCAATGCATCAATATCTCCTTAAGTACTTCATGCACACTCTTCTTAAACATATCATGTCATTTTCTTAAATATATCATGTCACTTTCTCCCCCTTTGTCACAACAAAAAAAGAAAAAATAAAGAAAAAATACCAACTGAAAAATTTTAGACTCTCTTCCCCTTTTAAAAAAGAATTTTGAAAACATATAAATTTGTTTTGAAAACTACCAGCTTTAAAGAATTTTAACTCAATTAAAATATTTTTAACAAACTAAGAGGAATAGACAAATAGGTTAAGGGATTCTTTACTTCTTAATGTAATAGATTATTACATTCAGTTTCCAAGAAGTAATTGTGATTCAGTATGGTCTATTTTAATTGGTAATTGACTTGAGAATTTTAAAGACCAGAAACCGAGACAAGCAGGGTGATTGATCTTTCCACATTTTTAGCATAAGATTCTCTCAAGCCAAAATTATAAATCCTTATCTTTTCAGCATACATCTGGTTCAAGATGAATATTACTTTTGAACAGTCCACTACTCTTATTATTTCAAAGACTTCTATAGTTTCTAATGTAAATTTTGATCAGAGGGTTAGGCCTTCTGAAGAAATTCTTCAGACTCTTCTTCCTTAGCCACTGAAGCCAAGAAGATTAGTAAGAAGAATAAGTCCAAGAGAAGAGGAAATTTACTAGAAGTAATTCATTTTAATTTAGACGAAGGAGAATTGGATTTAGACTTAGATACAATTTTTCATGTTTAAATCTAGGAATGATAATGTAATTAAAATTTCTTATTCATTCCTCTGTTTAAGTTTCTCCCTTTTTCAATTTTTGCATACCTTACTTGTAATCACAATTGTTTTCATTTTAATGTGAACTGATACATTCATTTTCCCAAGATTAGGTATCTTAAATAGATTAGAGGTATCCACAGAGACATGCTGAATTTGTTTCAAAACATAGACATTTGGAGTAACTTTATAAACTTCACAGTCTTTTGCTTTAGCAAAAGTGGCTGAGATGATGTTGAAATGTACATCAGAAGCTTTGTAGAGGATGCCTTGTTTTAGATTGAGCTCAAAAGAAGCATAAATCCAGAAATATTTAATTAAACATGGATAAGTATGACCAGAGACTATTTTAAAGCAACCATCCCAACCTTGTTTAGAAACACAACTTTGAGGATCATAATAGGATGCACTCATTTCTTTAAAATTGACAACCCTTTCATTGACGACGGCCAGTTGGTTTCTCAAGCCAAGGTTGAATATATAGGTCATCTCAAGTTGAGACAAAAGACACGGGAGGAAGGTTTTTGAAAAACAAAGACATGTGAGTTTTTTTAGATGAGATGTAAAAACTAGAGAGAAGAAAGTCAGTTTAAATAGGGAAGGTCTAGTTAAAAACTCAAGAGATAAAAACCAAGGGATAAAAGAAAAGTAAAATGAAAATCTTTTGAAAATAAAAAGGTGACAAATATTTTTAAAAAAAATCAACAAGCAACCAAGAAAAGTTCCAAGAGAGAGGATATGATAGGACAGGGGAGAGGTTGTAGAAGATTTAAGGAGATGGCCATTATTACTCTTAAAGATTATGTATATACAGTTGTAGGGCATGCATCATAGATTTTCAGATTTGTGACATCTTAAGTGATATAGATTTTAAAATGGTTTTTTACTTAAGTGATTTTTAAAAGAACATTTTTCCTTTTTTGAGTCTTTAGAACCTCATGCTTTTCAGTAGCCACAAGTCAACTGAAATCATTTAAGGTTCTGATAAGGCTACTTTTAATCAAGCATCAGTCTTTGATACTCTTTGCTCAGAAGCAAGATTTTAAATGATTAGAATCACCCATTTTTATGCTTGAGTTTAACTTCTCCAGAGCATGAAAGCTTGGTTTTGATCCTTCTGATTCAGAAAATCTTTGCTCTAAGTGTTTATCTTGATTTATATCAAGGTTGATGTCTTTAGATTCTGCACATTTTAACAACCATTAGTAAAAACTCTATTGTTATTTAAATACTTTGTTATCATAAAAACATTTTAAGGGTCTGAACAAATCTTGTTCTAACATACTGCATGCTAGAGCATATTTTGACTATAACATGCATAACTCCGACATCAGCATGTGAACAGACTTCGACAACATGCTTAAAATCTGTCAAACCAAGAAGCTATCCATATTCAGATACTAGAGATCAATCCAAAATCTCACAAATATCTACCTTGGGACAAACTCTACAACATTAAGGGAACAAACTAGCTTTCTTCATGCAGCTTTATCAATTGCATACAGTGGAAAAACTTGGAACTTGGCAATGTATTGGTGATCATTTCAACAACATTATCTTCAGTCAAAACCTTAAGCACTTGGACTTCTCCATGCTCTATTTTTCACTAACTAAATGTAGCCTCACATCAATGTGCTTAGTTTGCTCAAGATAGGATGAATTCTTCGACACGTGTATTGCACTTTGGCTGTCACATTTAACAGTGATAACTCTTCCTTGAAGTTTCAGCTTCTTAGAAAAACCTTCAAGCCATAATGCTTCTTTCACATCTTTAGTGAGGGAAACATATTCTGCTTCAGTGATGGATAAGGAAGCAACCTTATGAAGTGTTTCTTTTCAACTAATTGTTGTGCCAACCATAGTGAACACATATCCTGAAACAGATTTTATAGAATCCATGCAACCTGCATAATCAGAGTCGACATATCCTTTGATTTCTACTTTACTATCGTCACCACAAGCTCCACCATAAATCAGGATTCTGCTCAAAGACCTATTTATGTAAATTAGAATCCAGTTCAATGCTTGCTAGTGTGCCTTTCTAGTAATTTCCATATGCATGCTTACAAGGCTCACTCTGTATGCTATGTCTGGCCTCGTACAAACCATATGATACACCAAAGAACCTACTATGTTAGCGTATCGAATATTATTCATATATGCTCTTTCGAATCCAGTTTTGGGACTTTGAGTCGTACTCAACTTGAATGGAGGATTTGTCGGTGTTACAATAGGCTTTGAATTCAACATGCCAAATTTATCGAGAATCTTCTTCAGGTATGTCTCTTGAGATAAGCATAATCTTGGTTGTTTTCTATCTCTTTGGATGTCAATCTCAAGAATCCTAGATGCAGCTCCTAGATCCTTCATGTCAAACTCCTTATTAAGTTCTGTTGTCACATTCATTACATCCTCGACATTGTTGTTTTCTATGAGAATATCATCCATATAAAGCAACAAAATAACAAGTGCATTTCCAGGTTGAAATCTGAAGTAAACACAGTGGTTGAAATGGCTCCTAGTGAAACCTATGTGTGCCATGAACATGTTGAATCTTCTATTACATTGTCAAGGAGATTGATTTAGTCCATATAAAGATCAATTTAGCTTTCACACATAATTTTCCTTCCCTTTTCTGCATACCGATTTGTTTGCCTCATCAAGATTATTTCATCTAGATCACCATACAAGAAAGCAGTCTTCATATCCATCTATTCCAGCTCTAGGTCGAACTTTGCCACCATTGCTAATAACATTCTAATGGATTTATGCTTTGCAATAGGTGATAACACATCATTCAAGATGACTAACCTGGTCCCTACACGTTTCTCGATATGATCTCAAATGTTATTATCAGGAAGAGATTTCATCTTATCACCCAAGGCTTTCATCCATTCAGTCTTATTCGACTACTCACAACTTCCTTGTAGTCTCTAGGTTCTTTATCAAAGACCTCACTTGCAGAGATTAAGAAAAAAGCTATAAGATCTGCATAACCAAGTCTCTGAGGTGGCTTTATGACTCGTCTCGGCCTATCTTGAGCTAAAAGGTAGTCAATATCAGTTACCTCATCTTCATCAGCAACTTCTACTTCTTCAACTACATCTGGGTTATGAAATTCATCATCACTATACACCACCTCAAAAGGAATCCTTTCATGTTTCAGCTCTTCTTCAGAGATTTATGTGTTTTGACAAACATCATAAATTTTCTTGAATGCCATTTCTTCTTCACTAAAAACTACATCTCGACTTGTGATACACCTCATGTGACCTAGATCTAGGCATCATAGCCTATAAGCTTTAACTTCTTCAGGGTACCCTATGAGCATGCATATCAAAGCTTTAAGTTAGACCTTGTCTTGCCTAATGTGAGCATAGGCTACACAACCAAATACTCTAAGTTTGTTGAGATTATATGGATTTCTCTACCAGAATTCTTCTGGTGGCTTTATCTCCATGGAAGCCAAGGGACATTTATTTATCAGATATGTTGTTGTCGAAACTGTCTCAGCCTAAAACACCTTCTTTAATCCAGCATTAACCAACATGCATTTAACTAAAAAATGATTAAAAAAATTATTATTGTAGTGGTTAAAGCTTTTGTTCTGTTCTAGAACCAGAATTGGATGTAATCGGTTGATACATAATCTTGAACAGGTGATGCTAATCTTTAATTTGGTGGTGCAGGGTGGATCTCCAGGGTTAGCACTCCAACACTGAAGTCAGTTCAAGATTCAAGATGAGTGTAGTGAAAAGTAGATATCATAAAGTGTACCTTGCATTCCATATGAAATGAATTTTATATCATGAGTTTTATGGAGTGGGTTTGAGCGGATCTGGGCCTTAATGATTTGGACCTCTTGCTGCTCAAAATAGTTGCCCTTAAGACTTTTCGAGCTCTTAGGGTGCATGGGAAGTCTTAAGAAATTGCGGTCGGCCTCCCAAGATATTGTTTGATTCGAATTAGAAGCAAAACTCTTTGAGTAGGTTAAAAAAGTAGTGGGGAACAATCACATTAAATGTATTTCCATCGTTAAAATGTTTCACTGCTTCCTTCTGACATGTGTACTAACGTGACTAGTTAGGGCATGATTGTGATACGGTGGGAGAACTGACTTGAGGTTTTGCGTTTGTGTTCGCAAATTATGCAGTTTAGCAAGAGTCGCCACCGACTTTTTATTTTATCCTAAGGAAAGGTCAAAAAGCACAGGAAAGACGTTTGAGATGTTTTCGTGGGTTCGGGGGGTAGATTATGAAAAGGGAAGGTGCTAGCACCCTTTTCATCCATGGTTTTCCATGGGCTCTTAGTTACTTGTTTAGATCACTTGCCTTTTCTTTTCAATTGTTTGAAATGGTGCTTTGTGTGTGGTTTTGAAAGATGTTTTGAAAAAGAGGCCTTGTCTAGGCAACCTTTGTAATGATTCTTGTTTGAATATATACAAAGGTGTGTGTCTTTTTGTAAAGATATTTCAATATCTTGAAAGTTTGTTTTAAAATTATGTTGTGAGGTGTGTTTGAAAATGGCAAGGATGTTTTTACAAGCTTTTTGATCAAGTAACTAAGAGTTATCTACCCTATTTTACTCAAAGATCTTTCTTATGTTTTTAACCCTTTTGACAGTGTTATTTCACCATTGTATTTAGTGAACAACCTTGTGTTAGGATGTTAAACAGCACAGGCGCGGGTCATCGCATACAATTATTGAAAGCAACCTATGAGACACTCTAGCAATTTTGTAAGGGACGAGATCGTTTTATCAAAGGCAACATCGAGGGTCATCGAGGGACTACGATCTTTGTTTATTGAAGGGGTATTTGCTAGAGTGTCTCATACTCGAGGGACATGATTGCATTTTTCGAAGCAACAACCGAGGTTACCCTATAGGTGCAAGTGTGCATTGTGTTTGTCATTTTCATGCCTTTTTTGTCTTGTATTAGGTTATCTAGCGATTGATTTTTGAATTTCGCATACAAACCCTAATTACTATACAGTATATTGAAAGCAATAAATTGCGGGAATTAAAAGTCTAAGTTATTACAAAAAAAGTATCTGGGGATGGGGGTACAATTATTTACAAATGGGGATGAGTCTCAAAAGAATAATAATGTCCAAATATGTGTTACAACCAGATCGAACTGTCGCAATTCAATATAAAATTATAACAAATTATAAAATAAGGAGAATCAGTAAGTTATGAAATACATGTATTTATTTACAAATAAACAAATAAAATTTAACCTAATAAAGATTAAGTATTATTATTATTGTGTTTTATTAATTGTGAAAAGAAAAGTTTTTAAAAGAAAAATTAAATGAACAAAGTTTCTATTATTCTTATATTTTTTAATCAATAAAAAGGGTTAAAGAAAACCAAAATTATTTAAATCAAACTAAATATTCTTTTTTTTTTGTATTTTCATTATATTAAACAAGATTAATAAAGAAAGAAAATAAAATTAACTTAAAAGAAAGTAAAACAAAATTTAT